CATCCCTGCTCTAATTTTTATATGAATTCTGTTTTGCACATATGTAGGATGATATGCGGTGTATACATATGTACATATTGTCATGTGAGTACCCATGCATTTGTGTATGTGTATGGAAGCCAGAGCTTGATGTGGGTTGCTTCCTCTATCAGTCTCCACCTTATTTTTCTGAGACAAGGTCTCTCACCAAACCTAGAGCTCAATGATTTGGCGACACTTTACTGGCCAGAAATTCTCTTGTCTCTGTCTCCTCATGCCACCATGCCAGGCTGTGGATGCAAACTTGGATCCTCATGTTTGCAAAGCAATTCGTTTACCAACTGAGCCATCTCCCCAGGCCAGGTCCTTAATGCCCATTCTTATCCAAAATAAATGTTATATTTTTAAAGATGAGGGAATTTAACCAATTAGCATCACATATGTGCTGGCAAAATGTCTCACTCTGACCTTGTTCAAAGGATCATCTGGTCTCTAACCATAAAGATCATCATGGAAACAAGGAGGAGTCCTGTTTCATGTCATTGGGACTAAACTACATATCCTCTCCAAGGGAGTGCTGTTCAAATATCCCTTTCAATTTGTCCTAGGTGTTGTTCTAAGTCTTGGGTAAATGTGTATTGTGGACTAGGGAGGAACAGCAGAAAGGGCTGTGGACATGAAAGGAACAGTTTCAGGTAGGCGGAGCTGTTAACAAAGGGAGATAAACCCTCAAGGCTACATGCTTTCAGTTGATTTTCAAAGTTACTCATTCTGAAGGTCATGTAATTGCGCAATATATTGTTGCTTTCCACAGGCTTTCTTAGCAAAGACACATCTGACTGAAGCCACCTGAAAACAGAAAACTATTCTCTAGGGAACATCCCCTTGTCCTGTCTCCCAGGGAATGTTGCTTCTGTCCTCCTTGTGTTCCCTGGAAAAGTAGATTGTCATACTGCAGGATTATCTGTATCCTGCAAAATGTAGCTCTGTGCTATCTTTCTCTTTCTCCACTGAAAGAAGGCCTGTTCTGTCCTAACAATTAACCACAGAATCAACATTCCTGGGAAAGAAGCTAAAAGGATCTGAATCCCTGTGACTTTCTAATCAGCGTTTTTTTTTTCTTGAGATTCACAGACGCCAGCATGTCCTACAGACAGAGTAGACCTCCATAAGTTTCTAACCACCCTGCTGCCAGCCAGCCTATTTAGACTCCATGTCTTTTAGACTCCATGTACATTTGTTTATTGTGCATGTGTGTGTAAACACGTATACTTGTATGCCTCAAAGGACAACTTGGGGGAGTCTGTTTGTTCTCCCACTATATGGGTTCTGAGGATAAGACTCAGGTCCTTAGGGTTGGCATCAAATGCTTTTGCCTGTTGAGCCATCTTGCCAATTTCCTATGCAAGTTGTGTACCTTCGATGCTCAGGCAAGTGGTCTTTGTTGGCATAGGCTCCATCTTTTCTGTTTGTTGGTTCTCTAAAATGTCTTTCTCCCTGGCTTAACAATTGTCCAGGCTGGTCAGGGCATGATCAGTCTAAGCCATAGAACTTGGAGCTCTGTCTTTTGTCTATGTTGCCCCATTACAGATAACAAGGCTGGAAAATTTGTCTAGTTCTGACCCTAGTCCTCTTACCACAGAAGGAGTATATCTTATGAGACGCCAGTGAAGAAAGAGCATGGTTTTTTTTTTTTGAACAAAGGAACATCTGGATAAAGCAAGAGACATGAGTCAAGATATTCCCAGGTCTACTTTCTGTGGAGATGAAGGTACAGAAAGAGCTTGCATGGTCATGCTCATGGGTCCCCAAAGAATGTGGCTACCATGAATAACTGAAGTACTCTGATATGTCAGAGGCTACAGAGACCATAACTGGATATTCCAATCTAGTGTTAAGCACATTATTTCTGGAAGAAATAAAATAAAAAGGTAAACTATTTTGGTGTTTGCTGGCTACAGGATCTCTTTCCCAATAACTTTGCTACTCCTGTGTCATCGGAACAGTTATGAGCAAAGTGTAAACAAAGGAGGATAACTACAGTTCAATAAACCACATTTATATACCAGATGGTAGTTGACAGTATCTGATAGTAAAAGACAAAGATGGGACCAAACCATATGCTGCCATTGCAAAGCAGGGAGGAAATGGGCCCCACCTCTAGGAAGGAGACAGGTAAAGGCTTTGTGTGGTCATAGCATCAGGCAACTCGACATAAAGAGGTGTGAAGACAGCCAAGTTAATATTAAACAACTTGTTACCAAGGCACATGAGAGTCCCCTAGTAAAGAGATATTTGTTGAGAATACTGAGAGGATGAGGAGGGAAAAAATCAGAGGCCAGAACACAGCTCAAGGGAAAGAAAGCAACGTGACAGAGAAAAAGAAGTGCAGGCCAGGATCAGAGGAGCAGGGTAACGAGGGATGAGCACTGAGGGATGCTGATGGAGTTGCAAGTCCTTTCTGGGATGCTTCTGGGTGCTCAGTTGAGCTTCTGACTCTGGAGAGAAAACACAGCATGACAGCACGTGTACTGTGGTATCAGCAGGTGCTTGGGCCCTGGATCCAAGAGACTCTAGCCAGATAAGAGACATAGGCAAAGATAGAATGGGCTGGTACATGCAGCTTGTGGGGAGGGTAAGAAGTGGATAGGCAGAGGCACTGCTTGCAGGAATGACCACCGTAAGGATGACCCAGTGAAAGGACCTAATTGAGCAACTGTTAATGGACCTGTTGTTTGGTATTAAGTTGGGGGACAGAAGCAGGGGAATCTTAAATTTCTGACCTCATTTACAAGGGTGACATTTAGGAAAGCAGAGCAAATGCTTCCTGAGCAGTGTGCACACAATTTGAGCCCCATGAATGAAGAAGGGACTTCATGGGCAATCAAAGACCAGGAACTGGGATGAGTCATACTCATTGGGAATGTTTCCAGGGCTGCTCTGAAGACTCCAGTCCTTGCCTTATCTCAGTCCCAGGCCTTAAGCACAGTCATGGTGCAGAGTGGTCTCCTAGAATCCACTGAGCTCCATCCTGTCCTGGTTCTGATGCCCTGGTCATCTCCTTACTCTGCTAGCCTTGGGGGGTGGTTAACTTCTTCTGTACAATCCCTTCCTTTCTGCTTGATTTAGGATAAGCTTTTCTATTTCTGACCAGGCACTCAATAGTCTGAGGCAGTGAGTAGCCTCCTATCCTTGTCCCTTATCCTTGTCTAAGAAATTCACACAAGTTCATGTGTATGCATGGAGCAGTTTTCTACTCTTGCGACTAGTAGCTTACTCAAGGTTAGAGATCCCTCTTTGTTAGGATAGGATAGATGCCACTGCAATATGAAATAAACACTCCCAACTCAGCTGAGCAGAGAAAAGCTTTCTTGAACTCATGTACATCCAGCTCTGCCCACGTAGCTCTCCTTGGTGGTCTCCTTAGAGCTGCTCTGTGTATACCTATGGGACTTTCTTCTTCCAAGTCCTTCCCTAGAGCAGGAAAAAGGTAGAGATGGGGAAGGGAGAACACGAAGCACCAGACTTCTGGAGATACATATTTAAATAACTAACAACATGATGATAGTTAAACATTTTATATTATTTTGTAAAAGATAAAAAATATTTTATACTCCCATTGGGTGGGGTCATTTACAGTCTGTAAAACTACCTGCCCAGGCCTCTCTGGCTTCTGTTCTACTCTCAGTGTTTGGGAAATTAAAGATGTATTAGACTCTCCCAACATGGCTGAGGCTTGCTCTGTTCTCTGTAGGGTTGTCACTGGTTCTATTTTACATTCTACCTCATTGGTAGGTGCATGTGAGATAACGACTATGGCAAGTTCTTTCCCTGGGTCTTTGATTTTGTTGCTATTGTTTTGAGAACAGAGTCTCAGTACACATCCCAGGCTAGCCTTGGACTCATAATCCTTCTGTCTCCCCTTCCTCAGTGCTGCGATTACAGGCATGCACCATACTGTAAGTTATTATAACTTCCTGAGTATTTCAGCCTGTGTCTGTCTTCCTCAGATGCCCTTCCCACTAGATGTGATCAGGCACTGTTACCATGGTTGAAGATGTCTTTTTTTTCATTGCATTTTTCACTAGCGGCATTTGGAAGATACATGGTCAGCAATAAACGATGGTATGTGTGTATGTGTGTGTGTGTGTGTGTGTGTGTGTGTGTGTGTCTGCATGTATATGATTGTGCACATGCACACGGAGGCCACAGTCGATGTCAGGTGTCTCTCTATCACTCACATCTGTTTCCTTGGACACGGTCTCTCACTGAACTGCCTGTCCTTTGTCTTCACATTACGAACTGCTCTTCCAGTAGTTGGACCAAAGCTATGAAGCAACAAGGAAGTGATACAGGACAGTGGTCTTCATTCTCAGCCTAATCCTGTGGGCGCCAGGCCAGTGGTGTGCAGGCAGGCTTTGAGCATGTCCCATGAACCTCTAGCAACTGTGCTGCCTCAGCCACAAAGACTACTCTTCTCTCTTATCCTTTGCATCTCAGCTCTCCTTGCCTCGTCTTCCACTAAGACATGCGGTGCCATGTCTTTGGTTTAGCATCCGAATCTGCAGCATTCTGATGAGAGCTCCTCTGTCTCATTGAATCAGGAGCGGATGTGGCTGGCCCACATGACAGGATGCTCTTTCTTCACGATTCTCTCCAGCACGTCCTGTTTGATGTCCTGTTCCTCTTTCCAGGATTGGAGGTGATTTAAAAACATTTGTGGAGGCCAGGCATGGTGGCACACACATTTAATTCCAGCACTCAGTAGGCAGAGGCAGTCAGATCTCTGAATTCAAGACCAACCTGGTCTACAGAGTGAGTTCCAGCACAGCCAGGGCACACAGAGAAACCCTGTCTCAAAACAAAACAAAACAACCAAAAAAAACCCCTCAAAAACAAACAAAGACAAAGCCCAACAACAGGGAAAACAAAACCTTTGTTGGAGCAAGCAATAATAGGAGAGGATGTAAATCAGAGAGGCAACTAAGAAGGTGGAGTCTGTGACCATGCCGAAGAGATAAGGGGCTAGAGCTGTGCCAGAAAAATCCCTGTGGGACTGAGGGGTTGAGGCAGGCAAAGCACTGATTGTGGAGTTCTGGCACTATGTTCTGTCGAGGGGAAAGGAAGACTCTCCCTGGAGCCATGCTGCTACTTCTCCTTGGCTTCCAGTTTTCCATTCCTCCTGTCTCAAAGGCCAATGAGGAAAACATCACCTATGCTTATTTCCTTCCCACGGTGGAGTTTGCCGTGAATACATTCAACCAGAGAAGTCACGAGGAATATGCCTTCAGGGTGGAGCATATCCTGAGTTCCAGGCAGGAGGAGGTAAGTGATCATATATCCTGCCTGAATGTATCTGCTCCTCAGTGAGGGACAGGAGAGGGAAATCCACCTCTTTTGCAGGTTACACATAACCTAATTCAGTTAGTTTCAATGGCTTAACCCATGTTTTCCTTACAAAATCTTTTAAAATGGGATCATTTTCTATCTACATACAAGATCCTTATGTCATTCTTATTGCTTTGAAACAATTTAAATGAGTAATTTTAGAATGAGCATTTCTTTTTAAAGATTTTTTATTATATTTCATTCATTTAAGCATGTGTGTATGTGTGTGTGTGTGTGTGTGTGTTGGCACACACAAAGGTTGTCTCCTATCATCATGTAGATACTGGATATCGAGCTCAGTCTGTAAGGTTTGGTGGCAAGTGCCTTTACCTGATAAGCCATCAGAGCAGACATTTCTGCGTAACTGCCTCTCTCTAACCGGTTGTGCCACTGGAGCTCGCAGAGCAGACTTTTCTAAACAGATAAAACCACTTATTAAGTAAAAGATTCACACACAAAAGGTGCTGATGGATGAAGCTGAAAACTAGGTAAGACACAAAATTTCAAATAAACAAAACAAAACTCTAATTGGTAAGAATGGACAGAGTAAAACAAAGATAAACAGAAAAGAACTGAGGATTTGTGGAGCACAGAGAGCCACTATCTCTATTGAAAGTACCAGACAGCTCTTCCTCTTCATTCCCTCCTGCTCTGGGCCCACTCTGCCCACTGACCACATCAGATCCTCTTCATCATCTTATAACGCCCCTATAGAATGTAGTCAGGGTAGCGACGCTCATTTCCAATGTTGCCCTTCTTGCCGTGGGAGAAGGGCAGTCTATTCCTCCTTCCCTGGCAAGGGAAAGACAGAGGGGCTCCAGCCTTGCCCAGTGCAGCACCTAGCTGGTTTTCAGGACACACTGTAAAGGAACAAGGCTACTCCTGAAACACTGGGCTTGTGCTGCCAGTGTTTTACTTTTAGCTCAGTTGAGAAAGTATCTGGGGATCTGGCTCCATGTCTTAGGGCTGACTATCCAGCAAACACTGGTAGAGCCACCACCCTCACAGAACACAGAACACGTCCTGTGTCCTCTTGGAATGCAGGTGTAGGTTCAGATGTCTGCTGAGAGTGAAGTCTGGGTTTGCTGTGGCCAAATGTGGGCTGCAGGGCCTAGAGATAATGGACTCAGCCTTGACTTCTCTACTTTCCAACAGGTCCCCACTCTTGGTTCTTAACTCTTTAATCTAGAGATTACCTCCCTGGCTTCTGTCCTTCCTAGAGCTGGAACTCCAAATGGAGGAGAATCTGGATCTCTTCACACACACTGTCACAGAACCTCTTAAGAGGCTAGAAGGGTGTGTTCACTTTAACCTTTTTCTGTCTCCAGGCTCTGCAGGTGGATTTTCCAATGGTTTTCTCCATGAAGCTTCAGCTGCGTAGAACCCTGTGCAGGCAATTTGAGGACAGCCTTGACACTTGCCCCTTTCAGATGAACCACAATATGAATAATGTAAGATGGGATACCAGCCTCCATAGCTTTTACAGCCATGGATGCTACAGGGACAGGGTGGGGCAGTAGGAACTGGGGCAGCTAGTCATATGACATCCATAGTTACAAGTAGAGAAAAATGAATGTATGCAAGTTTCTGGTACATAGCTCACTTTTCCCACTCTAATACAGTACAGTTTAGGTTCCAAACCTGGCAAATGGTGTCACCCCCAGTAGGCTGGGTCTTTCCATAATTAATGTCGTCAAGTCAGTCCTCAACTGATATTTTCACAGGCCAACCTGATCTAGGCTATCCCTCACTGAAATGCTCTTCCCAGATGGCCCTAGACTGTGTTAGGTAGACAGTGAAAACTAATCATCACAGTGGCTAATTATGACAGGGTGCTTTCTACCATTGCTGTTAGGTATGTGAATCACAAAGACATCCTAGACATTCCTCTAGAGGTCACTGTCTACTGTGCATGTGTGATAACAAGTACCCTGGGTTACCACAAAGCTTCAGATGAAGACACGGGTCAAGACTGGGTTCACTGGGTAACCATGTGTGAAGGCCCTTGTCTCCTTCTTCTACTTCTTCCCCTCTGTGGAGGGGAAAGGGTGAGATGGATTTTTTTGGGGAGCACATGCTACAAACGTCCTTCACTTTCTCCTTTCACTGTCCTCTCTTATTCTTTTCCCACAGACCGTCACCTGCCTGTTCACTGTGGCCACCTATCCCTGGGCAACAAAATTCAGGCTCTACAAGTTTGTGTGCTTATAGTTCCTCTGACCGGAGTCATCTGTGGACTGGCGCTGTACTTCTCTCTGCATCCACTGAGAGGTTACCCTCTGCAGGGCCTCTATGCTCTCATGCTCCTTCTTTTGCAACATTGTATAGTGTCAAGACTGCATATATGGATGATAACCAGGAACGATTTATATTTCTTTTGTTTTGTCATTTAGAATAGCTCATTAAATATTGCATTTCTGAAAGCTTTCTGTGTATGTTTTTAGAGGAAGCACCATGGGCTTGGGGTGGGGAACAGTTTGAAGTTCCTGGGATGGGGAAGCAGGAGATATAAATTAGAAAGATGTGCCAGAGCTGTTGTCACACAAGTCCAGAAGCACAATGGTTATAGTCTCCCTGGGTATCAAATATTCAAGATAAGGCCCAGGCAGAGCTTCACACTCTTACTCCCAACACCTGTGTGCAGCCTCTGTTCTCCAGAGAGCGGCCTTCACACTTCTCTGGTGACAAAAGGAACAAGTAGGGTTTGGCTTTGCTAAAGAATTGCTGATTCCTTAATTTCTTAACCAGTCAAGGTGTCCACGAAATAGTTAAGACTGTAAAATTTGAAAAACCCATGTCCCAAGATTAGCAACAAGGATACTTAAATGTTTATTGAAAATCACTGGACTGTGGACTGGAGAGAGAGCCATTAAGAGCACATGCTGCTCTTACAGGGAACCTGAATTTGCATCCCAGGGCCCTATCCTTGATTCAGTGGACACCTGTACCCATATCGGTACATACCTCCCATAAACATCATTAAAAACAAAACAAATCTTAAAATAATCTCTGCATGACATCAGTAACTGGTGGGAAAGGACTTGATAGTATTTATCTATAGAAACCTCAATTTGAGCAAGTGTGTGCACATGAACACGACCTCATAAGCTCTCAGAAATCTGGTAAGATTTCAGCATCTATGGTAAGCACAGAAGTAAAAGGAAACACACTGACCAGGAAGGACAGCTCTACATCACCTTTTTCAACTCTCCCCATCTTCAGGAAGCAGACAGTCTCTCTGGTGGTGAGACAAGCTAGAATCTGCTTTGGATGCCAACACTAGATTTGCCTTGACTGACAGATACATGGCACACCAACTTCAGTACCAAATGGACCCACAGTCTGGGACTCTAAAACTACGCTGAGTAAGGATGGTTTTATTGGCTATAGAGTCTAGGACAACCCCAGGAGAATCTGGCCTACCATGTCAACTAGGTTGGCCCTAAAGAACTGGGCTACAAACCTTCCCTAATTTCTAGACTATTCCCCATGATCCAAGTTTTACCTTGGCCCCAGCAGAACCAGAATCATGGGCCCATCATGTTCTAGCCAATAGGGGCTGGGCCTATTCTGGTAGATTCCATTGTCCAACCATATCATCAGGTTTGACTCCGGGACGACCCTATGGACATGGACTAGGCCCAGCTCTTCTGGGCAGTGTCCAGACCATCACATGTGTCATGTCTGCTTCTCGGCCTGTGTCCGAGAACATGCGGAGGGTGTCGGGGATTGACAACACAGAGACGCATTCAACGATATAAAGAAAACTTTAAACAGGCTCCAAAAAGGTTCAAGAAAAACTTCCTAAGAAAGGCTCCCTCCAGAGAAGCTTCTGCTCTCTCCTCTCCCCTAGCTGGTTCTCTCCTGACACCAGAGGTGGATGTGTGTGTTTTTTGAAGGTGCGGTTAGTCTTTGGACAAGGTCGAGGTCAGGGCGGTTTCAGTGGGAAGGCCTTTTCCAGGAACTTATTGTATTGTTTTTTAGTAAACATGTTTTTACTAAACATTGTCTTACAGCTGCCTACTCCCAGGCAGAAGGGGAAGTGGGTCTCTGCTCAAGGTCTGGTGTTCCCACACACATGTTCTACCTTGCTCATTACAGGCTTGGGTCAGTAGGTAGTAGAATTTTTAATAGGTGAAACTTACTGATGAAAGTGAGAACATGGTGATACTAATAAGAATTTCCAGACATCAAACTTTTGTTTTCTTTTTGTGTCCTAACTTCCTTTGCGTTTAGAAGTATTGTTCAGACACAAGCTCCTACCATGATGTACTACCTCATCAAAGACCCACAAATAATAAACTAACAAACTGTGAATAGAAGCCTTCAAAACTCTAAGCTCAAATAAAATTTCCCCCTTTAAGCTGACTTTCTTAGTTATTGTGTCAAAGCAACAACAAGCTGGCTAAGCTTTGTGTCTTTCCATCACCTGTGTGTAGGGGTGAGCCCACAACATTGTCCATGCCACAGACAGGAAATGGGCACAGACAGGAAATGGGCACAGGTGAGGATGAAAGAAAAGCAAAAGCAAAAGCTCTCCCTCTTGGAAGCCTGCCACGCTTCTGATCTTCCAAGCTTGTGCGTGAGTGCTTTCTCCTGTTAATAAAAATATTTGTTTCCACATTGCATTGATTCACCTACAGCTGGTGTCAGAACTGAAAGCCTACTCTTTCAAAGAGGTAGGAGCATCTGCGATGACTGGTCAGTCAGATGGCTTCTGGCCGCGCTTCCTTGTCCTTGGCTACAGCAACTGCATGTACCCTGCCGCTTGCAGCTAACGCTTCAGAAACCTTCCACTCCACCTGCCCAGCCCCGAGGTGAGTGCTAACCAGGCATCTGCAGATCTCAGCCGCTGAGCCCAATTTTCAGCTTTCTGCAACCTGGCCATCTATCAGCAGCTTCCTTTGCCCTGGGAGACTGCAGGAGGAGCCCCAGTCAATCACTGATACCTGTGAGATGGAGATGGCACTCCATCATTCCTTCTCAGTCACCAAGACATCTTCAAGCATGGCCAACGAAGTCCTCACCATTACCAGGAACTCAGATCACCAGAACAGCACACAAAGCTCAAGGACAACTTGTTCTTTTTACTGTTGGTTTTGTTTTATAACATTCATTTATATATATATGGGGTTTACCTGCATGTATATCTGTATAACACTCTGTGTGCCTAGTGCCTGGGCAGGCCTGAAAAGGGCTTTGGATTCCTGACACTGCAGTTACAAATGATTGTGAGACACCAGATGGGTGCTGGGAATTGAACCCAGGTCCTCTGAAAGAGCAGTCAGTGCTGTTAACCACTGAGCCACCTCTCTATCCCTCACTACACAATTCTTGCTTAAGGTCCTTGTGGTTCCATGGTAAAGAAGACGCTTTCTATAGACACAGGAACTTTGTGAGTCTCCAAGGTAGCACTAAGGACAACAGTCCTCAGCAGCATGATCCAGTACAATTAAGCATCTGTGACCACCCACACTTACGAATATGAAAGATAAGCCCAGAAATGCTTCAGACCCCCATAGCACAGGTCCAAGTCTACTAGCAGTATGAGCTGTGATACTTTCCAAACACTAGTGAACTAGTGACTCGGCCCACCACACGTCATGGCTCAGCAAGATTTGTCAACATTAATAGTCACCATCATAGCCTTAGTATCCCCTGGGTGTCTCTCTCATCTCCCTAAGCTGTCCTCATATGTAGGATGCAGTTATAGACCATGTATGATCAAGGAAGAGTGACTATGTTTCAACAGGATGTACTACTGACATGAACATGTTATGGCTTAGGTAACTTGATCATTGTTGTCAAAACCTTCACAAAAGCCCCCTGGATGGCTCTGGTACTCACTCAAATGCCAGTCTACTGCCAGTTCTCACCGTAACTACAAGTGATGCCCTGTCTTAGCTCAGGGCTTCCTGACCCTTGATAGTCCTGAGCAATTCTGCTGCTTTCAACAAATTTCAGCAAGAGAATTCACAGCTCTTTATTTTTTTAGCTGTGATCTTTGCAGTATAGACAACCATGGAAACTAACATTTTTATCACCTTATTATATTGAAGTCAAGAGAGAAAGGCTATTTTCCCAAAATATTCCCACATAATAAGTCTTATACCTGCTAACTAATCCCTCTGTATTCTGTAGTGAAAATTAGCAGGAGTTCACTTTTTGTTCGGCTTTTGAGTGAAACTCATGCTGTTAGAACCCCAAATCCATGTTGGCTTCGTTCTTCCTATTTTCTGAGACACAGAGATGTGCATTGGAACATTGTTAAATTTTCTCAGGTAAAGTCTTAAAGGGTCCCTACAGACTATTCCCTGTGGTGTATCTTTTGTGTCCCAGGTTTCCAGCAAAGAATTACTAGGAATTTTTATATAATATTCCATTATCAAATCATTGTAGATGGGAAGCTATTTTCAGATAGTGGACTTATGTTGTTGTCAAATTATTCATTTTTTCATTTTGTTATGAGTTTCTAGAATATTTTTTAACGATATAAAGAAAACTTTAAACAGGCTCCAAAAAAGTTCAAGAAAACCTCCTAAGAAAAGCTCCCACCAGAGAAGCTTCTGCTCTCTCCTCTCCCCTGGCTGGTTCTGCTCTCCCTCCAGAGGTGGATGTGTGACCCTACTTGACCTAAGCCAGGAGTGCCTCATTTGAAAATAAAAAGGGGTGAATTGTGGGAACACCAGACCTTGAGCAGAGACCCACTTCCCCTTCTGCCTGGGAGTAGGCAGCTGTAAGACAATGTTTAGTAAAAACATGTTTACTAAAAACGATACAATAAGTTCCTGAAAAAGGCCTTCCCACGGAAACCGCCCTGACCTCGACCTTGTCCAAAGACTAATCGCACCTTAAAAACCCACACACATCCACCTCTGGAGGAGTACTGTTTATTGGCTTGCTCAACCTGCTTTCTTATAGAACCCAGGACCACCAACCCAGTGATGACCCAGTGATGACATCATCCACAATAGGTTGAGTCCTCCCCCATCAATCACTATGGTTAAAAATGCCCTACAGCCAGATCTTATGGAGGCATTTTCTAATTGAGGTTTCCTCCTTTCAAATGACTCTTGCTTGTGTCAAGTTGACACAAGTGCTGAGAGGTGGTGGAGCATGCCTTTAGTCCCAGCACAATGGAGGCAGAGATAGGTGGATTTCTGTGAATTTGAGGACATCCTGATCTGTAGATCGAGTTCTATGACAATCTCCAAAGCTACAGAGAAGCTCTGTCTCGAAAAACAAACAAACAGACAAACAAAAAACCCAACCAACTAAACAAAAAACTAGCTAGCATAAGCATCACAAACAGAAAGATTTTACAAACTGAGAAGGGAAGATATATCATATTTGCAATGGCTAAATATGCACTATGTGATAGGTTGGCCTTTCTTATCATTAGATGAATTGTTCTTATTATCTGGAACCTTCTGAAGCTCTGACTAATGCCTTTCCAGATGAGCAGCTGCTGCTTGTGGTGTGGTTTGCATTGACCCTAGGGTGTTTCCTGAATATGGGCTACTTTAAACATGGTGAGAAAAGTGGAAAGATCACTGTTCCTAGTGGCTGAGGAGAAATGAAAATTTCCTGGCTCTTGTTAGTAGTCTGGGAATGGGAGAAAGATAATCATTGGGCTATAATAAGCATCTAGGCAATGATAGTCTTTCTTTTCTTTTTTTTTTTTTGAATGTTTTAAATTTAAATTAGAAACAAGCTTGCTTCACATGTCAATCCCAGCTCCCTCTCCCTCCCCTCCTCCCCTGCTCTTCCCCAATCTCCCATCCCCACACCCAATCCCCACTCCACTCTCCAGGGAGGGTGAGACCCTTCATGGGGGATCTCCAAAGTCTGTCATAGGGAATGATAGTCTTTCTAATGTTCATTAGTAGGTGTCTTTGTCACTCTTCTATTGCTGTAAAGAGACACTATGACTACAGCAACTTTTACAAGGGGAAGTATTTAACTGGGGGGCTTGCTTATAGTTTTAGAGGCTTAGTCCATTATCATCATGGCGGGGAGCATGGCAAGCATGGTGCTGGAGAAGTAGTTGAGAGCTACATCCTGATCCAGAGAGAAGGAGAGAGAGAGAGAGAGAGAGAGAGAGAGAGAGAGAGAGAGAGAGAGAGAGGAGAGAGGAAAGAGGAGACTGGTCCTAGTATAGGCTTCTGAAATCTCAAAGTTCACTCCCAGTGACACACTTCCTCCAACAAGGTCATACCCACTCCCACAAGGCCACACATGCTGATCTTTCTAATGCTATTAAAGAGTTGCACTCCCTGGTGACTAAACATTCAAATATATGATCCTATAGGGGCCATTCTTATTCAAACCACCACAGTAAGTATAGATAAATAGTGAAGATATACTCATGGAAAGAAATCTTAACATAGAGTGTATGAAAGTCTCTTTCTAGATTCTAGAGTGTAGCTCATGGAGATTTATCCTGATGGAAAACTTTGTGAATTAATATGAAAATTTCTTTGGGATTGGTTGACCTGAAGTTGGCAGGCTGATATTTGCCTCCTTTTCCACGGTGCTGTGTGGTCCCCAGACGTGACCTCTGTACACCTGTAATGTACAAATGACCCGCTGATGAAATTCTTTTTGCACTAACCCATGAGGCATATGGGAGAGATGCAGGTGCTTTAGATGGGATCACTACTTGCAAACACCAGGAACAGACATACACTAAGGTCTCTCAGTGTCAGAGATGTGCACCTATGGCCAAGGGCCAAGCCAGTCACCACTTACTTCTCAACAGTCTTATTGGAACACTTCTACTCTCATCAGTTTCCACATAGTCTATGATTCCTAAGAAACACAGACAGCATGAAGATAGTTGGCAAGGATATCAGCTACTCCAAAAGATCAGAATAGTTATTCTATGGCTTCTTTGGAATGTGTGCTGGACCCTGGTTCAGGTGCCTCAGATAGGACGTAGTGGCCTCTGGTTCATCAGTGTTTCTCAAATATTAAGTACAATGTGCCCCCCCCCCGAAGATTATGAAATGTTGCTCCTTTTCTAAGGGCAGAAGGTCCTAGGGTTGTCCTCATTTTTAAGTGCCAAGGAGATACTGCTGTTATTCTTTGTGTGGGAATCTCTTTCTGGATAGTGAGGCTACAGTCCTCCCATCATCTATTAGCTTCAGTGACCTGGGGAAAAGTGTGTGGGGAATCCCCTCAAGAGCGAAGATCATCTATCCTGAGAAAGACTTGGGGCTTGCCTTCCTCCCTGGTATACATGGGATGCCTTAGTGGGTGCTGACCATCATTTTTCCTCTGGCCACATGGGTCATGTCATGAGACCACAGCTCAGATGGATCTAGTTGTGCTATGTGGGCCACCTCTCAACATCTATAAAAATGGAGGATGCCACTATGGCCACCAGGCTATCTTGCTGAGAGAACTCCATGTAGAGCTTAGCTTCCACAATCACGCCCATAGCCCACAAAGGTTATTACCTGCTGGTGTTTAATGATCTATTCTATGATTAATCTGTTCAAAGAGAATTTTCTAAAATCCCAGGACATGGAACCCCAGACACTTGCAAGAAGCACAGAGCTTCTTAAGCCTGTAGTTGCTGCTTCCTATGAATGGCAAATATCTTCAGAAAAAGGAGCAGGCTTGGACCAATGCTGTGGGTAGATCCTTGTGGTGGATTCCAGTCATGGAGGCCCCGCAGAACAAGTCATTTTCAACATGTTGAACTGTTTTGAGCGTGGGGTGCTGATGGTGAAGGAGCAGATGTAGATCTAAGGGAATAATCAACATGGCACAGTGGATGGAGGAAGCCTGTGGTTTATGGTCAGGACACTGTCTACTCAACCTTATCCCTTTCTTGGCCATCAGCTGGAAGGCGTTGATCTTTGATCTACAGGTGTAACCACCAACTCAAACTCTGATTGAATGGTGAGCTGTCTGCATGTGGGCTTCCTCTTGATCCAGAGGCATTTGTGTTACTTTCCTTATCTAATTAGTGGCCTCCAGAAAAAAACTTCTGAACTTTCATTGTGTGATACAAGCTCCCAGGAACATTAGGGGATGCCCTGTCCCAGGAGTTGACTACTGTCAGACTTAAGTCATTAGTTAAAATATTAATTATTCTTGATAAGGGGCCTATGAGCCCTGGGTAGGGCTGTCCCAATAATTAGGGTGCCCTTTTTCTTGTTCCTCAGAAAAGGTTCTGGAGCTTCTGGTGGGCATAGGTCCTGGAATGAAGACAGTGGGCCCCCTTCTCTTACTCCCCTTTCAAGCTGCATGTCAATGAAGGGTCCCTAACATAACATCAGCATTCACTAGGTTCTTCCCCCTGAGTCTAGGGGAGGAGGATCATGACCCAACAGTGAGCAGTTGCTACTCAGGTCCAGGATGCAGGACCAAAGAAGATATAGGCATTAGGAGGCTATGATGTGCAAGGAACAGGAAGCTACTATTGGTAGTGGGAAGTGTTGGGGGCAAAGCTTGAACAGGTCTCTGTAGCTCGTACCTAGACTGCCTGCCTTTTGGGACTCTTTCCCCATTAAGGTTTAGAAAGGGATTCTGGGGAGTTTGTCACTGGTCCCTCCTTGCATCTCTAAGCATGGCTCTGTCATCTGCTCTTGCATCCCCTTTATCCCCTGGCAGCACCCACAACTGTGAAAGGGGTGGATGCTGGTATCTTGCCTTACATTGTCCAGTTCAGGACTGTTGTGAAAGGGGCAGGTATCTAGGCTTTCCTCGAATTTCTTACAGATGGTTCTTCTCAGCCTCAGCTTCATGAAGAAAGTTGTTGGTAGCTTTTCCTGAAGACAGAAAGAGGCTTAAGTGAGTAGACTCTTCTTGCTGCCTGTTCATAGATGGGCCTCATGTCTGTGGTCAATATGGGGAGAAACCCAGATTCTGCCCTGAGTTTGGAGCTTCTCCAAGGCCTGGTATCTCTTTCTTGGAGGTGAAAGTCCCAGGCTGAGTTACATACCACTGGTACATCATCTACCTCAAGTCTCCTCTTTCTTCTCAACCAAGTGAAGCCTCCACTTCATGCTCAATAGGTGCCTGAACCAATAACTGCATTCCTAGAGGACAGGCTCTGGGAGGATAGTGGTTCTGCTGATAACTCAACCCAAAGAGATTGAAGCCCAAAGGGTATATTTGCAACATACTGTCACCCGGTATACATCAAGAAAATGCTTATGTTTCAACATACCAGCACAGAGGATTGGAATGGTGGCTTAATGGATACATTTTTATAGTGTGTACTTTGAAATCTTCCTCCTGCTTCCTTCCACTGTTTCTCCCTCATTCCTTTCCACCTTTTCTTTCCACAAGGCCAATGCTACCTTTAGCAAAGCCATAGTCATAGTTTATAGATGAGACTCCATTTCAAGAGACCTCAGACAACAGGGTCAGCTAGTGCTCTGCAGAGCTGTGCAGGGCTGAAATTCCTCTGCCTTTCCTCTGCCAAGGAAGGAAGAACAAAGTATTCCTCACCCATGACTACAGTGTGGATTAGGAGATGGGTATTGACATCTCAAGGACATTCTGTAGGCATCTCATCACCAGGGAACATTTTAGGATGAGGAAGATGGATTGATATGTTCAGTGAACTGAGTGAAATCTGCCAGGGGCCCAGAGTAGGAGGGGACTGAGAGACAGAGCTGAACTGGCAGGTGGCTCTCAGGACAGTCAGCTTGTCCTGAGACAAGACAATTGGCAAGTCCTCACTGACAACTCTTCTGTTTCTCTTCCTTTCACTTCCCAATTTCCTAAAAGTTTGCGTGTCTGCGTGAGTGCGTGCATGTGTGTGTGTGTGTGTGTGCATATGTGTACACATGTGTGTGCATGGAGCCTAGAGTGACACCAGGCGTTTTCCTCAGCAGCTCTTCTCTTTACCTTTTCACACAGGGTATCTCACTGAAACTGAAGCTCAGCTTGACTAGGCTGGTCAAAAACATGTCCTCTCTAGACCTTCCTGTCTCTGCCTTCCCGGCACCAGGATTGGAGGTGTTGGAGGTGTGCATCCTCAAGTTAGGCTTTTTACATGGGGGATGGGGATCCCAACTCTTCTTGTCATGTTTGTCTAGTAAGTGCTGTACTGGCTGAGCCATCTCTCCAGACCTCCAGTGACTTTAATATTTGAGTACCTTTGTATGTTGCCCATGCTCCTCTAAACAAAACCTGGCCATGTTCCTGTAAGTAACTAAATGAGCTCATTTGTTCAACAACAACAACAACAAAATGATAGACAAATAGAAAAATGTATGAGTTGGGAAGAAGAAAGAAATAAGAAAGTATAGGAGGGGGATGAGAGAGAGTAATGGGAGGTGAATACTATGAAAATATACTCTATACACTTATGAACTGTCATAAAAAGCTTATCGTTCATAATAAATATACACTAGCAAAAACTCTAAAAAGTGTTTTTGACATGTTTTCAGTCTTTGTACATGGAATTTTTATGTAAATATTTTCTTTGCTCAGTAGGAATTCTCCCCTAGAAGTACCTATTCTAGAGTTATTATTATTAGTATTATTTTGACATTAAAATCCAGATTCTCCTGTCCCAGCTTCCAAACTGCTAAAACTATAGTTGTATACCACCATTCCTCACCTAAAGCTTATCCTTTAGTTAATTAAATACTATCATAAAACATGATAATATTGAATAGCAATTTTATGTGAGAAGACTTAATTTCAAAGAATGCATAAACGGGCTGGAGAGATGGCTCAGAGGTTAAGAGCACTGACTGCTCTTCCAGAGGTCCTGAATTCAATTCCCAGCAACCACATGGTGGCTCACAACCATCTGTAATGAGATCTGGTGCCCTCTTATGGACATACATGCAGACATAATACTGTATACATAATAAATAAATCTTAAAAAAACTATTTTTAAAAAAGAATGCATAAACATTCTGACCCCTGAAACCAACTAATTTGCTATATGTAACTCAATTCCAGACTACAAATGTCTAACAAAGACTAACTGCCTTGCCTGCTTCCTCAGGAAACAGCAAGTGTATTGGACAAGGTCACCCACCTGTACCTTTGAAAAACTCATGATGTGAATGGATCTGTAGGCATACTCGTCCTTGTTCTGGTTGTTGAATGTACTCACAGCAAACTTCACTATGTCAGGGTCACTGACCGGCTTATCAATGTAGGGTTCATCCTTTGCAGAACACCATGCCTGAGCTCCCTGGGCTTGGAAACCCAGGAGAACCAGTAAGACTGCCCAAGGCAGAGCCATCTTCCCAGCTGGGCACAGTATGCTGCAGGTTCTGCTTCCTGCCTTAGACCTTATAGCCCTGTTCCCTGAGGTCTAAGCCTTCAGTCCATTTCCTGGGTCCCAAACTCCTCCCTCTGGACCTCCTCTCTGTCATCACAATGAATTCCTTCCACACTTGGTACCACCTCCCCCAGCCAAAACTGTTCATTCGCCTCCTGTTCTGGATGGAACAAAAGGGTCCAGGGGGTGGTTTGGGGAGAACAAGGGTGTGGGTAGGCAGAGGTGCCCCTGATCTGAGTCTAGATGCTTCCTGAGTCCCTGTGTATAAAAGAGCTCCACAGTTAGGCTCCACAGTTAGGTGCTGAGGGATTTACGCTGGTGCTGGGTTTTAGCGAAAGGTAATTTCTGGGCAGGTCACTGGACAAGACAATAATTCAGGAAACTACAGATTACAGATGTGTGGGAAGAATGAGCGTTTTGATAACGGAGAACTGGAGCCTTTTGAATTGATGTTTATTTATTCCAGAGCTGCAGCGCGGCACTGGGGAGACAGTTGTCTCTGCTCTGGGCTTGATGTTCCCAAGGAATGTTTCGCTGCACCTCAGCCTAGCCCCTATCACCTCACAGCCCGAACAGGCATTCTGGTGTAGGCCAATGGAAGATGGTGCCAACCTTGAGATGTCCAGAGTTGAGAATCCAACCTCAAGTGCACTCCCTAAATCTAGTTTCTTAACTCCAGGGATGTGCAGCCCTACCGCACTCTGCGGGCACCCTAGCTGGATATGTCAGAGCAATTCCTCATGGGATTCTACAGAGGAGTGGGTGGCGTTTGCACCCAGACTACAGGGACTAGAGAATGTGAAAAGGGAGAGGGGGACGAGTAGGTGTCTCAGGGTGGTTAGGGATGTGCCTGTTCTGTGGCCACTGGTGCCCTCTTGTGGCCTTAATCATTACAGCTCAGGAAGTACAGTTTCTGGGTGGGGCTTTAGGCTCTGGAGAGATGCTCATAGCCTCTAAACTAAGCAGCAAATTGGGCTGACACTTCTGAACCACACTCTCTTTTGAGTAAGACTGAGGCCTCGTCCCCATTGTGAAGCATGTCTTTAGCCTGCATCTGTGTCTACGTGTAGTGTTTGGAGACTGTGCCAGGTACTGCTGACTAACCAGCGCGTGTACACATTTCTCCTGTAAGTTTGCGTCTGTGTCTACAAGCTTGGGGACCGTGTTAGGCGCTTCTGACTCTAACCAATGTGCCCACATTCCTGCTGTTAGCCTGCATCTGTATCTACGTGCAATATTCCGGGACTGCTAGGTGCTTCTGACTCTAACCAGCGCCTGTCCACATTCCTGCTGTATCTGTAAAGCGCCTCCCTTCTTTGTGTGGGCTCGGGTATCTCAAGACATAAGTAAAGAATGAATGTCACCTCTTTTCAAAAGCTCGTGAGACTCACATTGTAAGAGTTCCGGCTCACTAAGCTAAATCCTGGCAGGTATTGATTTTCCCTCTGGGGTGGGTAGCATCTCTGGCTTTTTGTTTGTTTTGTTTTGTTTTTTTCCTGGCACTGAACATCCTGTATGGGTTTCATAGAAAAGTTTCAGTACCTTCTCAGGACTTCCAGAAGCAAAGTTCTGTCTTTGGAAGCATCAGTAACAAAAAGGATCAGCAATGACTAAACACAAATGGCCAGACCTTCTCCTGGGAGGAAAAGGTGGCACCAGGAAGTCTTTTTCAGGATGTGCTGTGTGTGCCTTGGTGGCCTGCAGCGGGGTGCCTTTTCTTGGGCACTTTTAGCCATGATCTGTAGCTATAGGCAACTTCCAAGGGGATCAGAATCTCTTGAGAGAATGCTCACTCTCCTGGCTTTTGGGAACCTATTCCCCATGCTGGGTTGCCTTGCCCAGCATTGATGAAGGGGAAGGAGCTTGGTCCTTCCTCAGCTTAATGTGCCATGCTTTGTTGACACCCAAGGGAGGCCTGCCCACTTCTAAATGGAAATGGAGGAGGAGTGGATAGGGGAGTAGATGGGAGGCTGGGGGCGGGGGAGGGGTCGGGCAGAGGGAACAGGAGGAGAACAGAGGGGAAACTGTGGTGTGGTCGGTATGTAAAATAAATGAAATTTTTAATTAATTAAAAAAAAAGAAGGTTAGTTCTCCATCTCAGGAGGGTTGTCCTTGGAAGGAACATGCTCTTCTCATGGGTTCCAGTGGGATGGTAGGATTCCTGGTTCCTGAACCACACTTCAAGAGGTTCAGAGCATATCTCTGGCCCAGTCTTACCAACCCGGCTTGGGTTTCCCCATCCTCTTACCATCTCATTCCAGCTTTCCCAAACCTTCTCCTGGTTCTGAGGGTCCTGCTAGGTCCCAGGATAACCTGCTTGGCTTCTAGGCCACTTCTTCAGGGCTTTGTACTTTCTGCTTTGCATTCCCTTAGATGGCTCTCAAATAGCCCTATCAAATAGACCCTCTGAGTCTCCCACATGCTGAAACACACGATGGCATGCGGTATCCATGAATGTAAAAGAAGAAGAGAGGATATGTCTGGAGCAGAAGGCTCCCTGACATAGATGGAAGAGACACTGTAGGATTCTAGGATTCTTTTTTAAAGTTTGTTTATTTATTTTTTTATGTACATTGGTGTTTTGCTGCATGTGTGTGTCTGTGTGAGTGTGCCAGATTCCCTGGAACTGGATTCTAGGGTTCTTTGTGTGTGTGTGTGTGTGTGTGTGTGTGTGTGTGTGTGTGTGTGTGTGTGCATGTGGTCTATGTGGGGGTTAGAGGACAGCTTCGAGGAACTAATGTTTTGGGTTCCAGGGACTGGATCAGGTCACCAGGCTTGTGCAGCAAGCACTTTGACCCACTGAACCTTCTTCTCTCTGGCCAAGATTCCAGGATTCTGGAGCTTTCTGTACCTACACCCTTGTCTCAGCTTTTCTATCTGTAGCTTTTTTTACTTCAGTCTTCAAGCATCTTTGAGTTTTGATAATTTAAAGGATGAATACTACATAGACTTCCAGAAGGTAATAGCTGCATGTAATGATAGCAAGAGGAATTGCACTATGTAATCAAAGATATGTGAACCCTCAGCTGGGGACCACTGCCCATAGATAAAGATCAAAAGTCCCCGAGGCCCCATTCCTGGCCCTGTGCCACACTTTCCTCACCTCTGACTTGTAAATGAGCTATCTTTACCTCAGCTCCCTTCTGAGAGGAAGGGTGATGCATTTTAGGGACACGGTTCTTTCTGTCCAAGTGCTCAGAACTGACAATTCCATCTCTCTGGGTGTGTATTTACACAGAAACCAAGGTTTTTGTTTAACTTTGGTTCTGTGCAGACAAAGTGAATTTGAGGATTGTTAGAAGGAAGATAAAGGAAAAGCTTTTCTGATATAAGCATGTTACTCCTTTAAATGTGTTTATTGCTGTTCACAGATTTCTACTAAGATGTCATTTGCCAAATAGTGGCACATACTTGCAATCCCATGACTCAGGAGGATGAGTCAGAAGGGTTGGGAGTTCAAAGCCAGCCTGAACTTCATAGGAAGACTCCATCTAAAAGACCTGAGGATATAGTTCAGTGGTTGATACAGCAGGTTGTATCAAGGCCCTGAATTCAGTCTATAGTACTGCACACAAGGATAAAACATCTTTTTCTCCTTTTCAGAAGTCAAAAGTCTCCAGAAGCCACAAGTCTGGTGGCTTTTCTGTACACAGGCTAGTGTTTACCGTGTGGATCACGAAGTACTGCCAGACCAAATTCTTCATGCTGAATACAGTTTTCCTTTCTCAGCACTTGGGTATTAAATAACGACAACCCCAAACGTCTATTTTAAACAAACAGCTCCAAACTGTTACAGTGTCACTTATGCTAGGTAAAATACAGGTTTCAGTATAATAGAAAATCCATATTACACAGGCTTCACCCAGCCGTGGAACTGTGTCTTATTCTGAGGGTAAAGCCATCTCTTGCTTAGCTTTGTTAGGGACCATTGTGCTGATGACAGACACCAACAAGAAGCAAGTCCCTTGCTTCCCTGCCAGGCACTGTGGCTGAGCACTCCACATCCATCAGCTTCCTGAAGCACCGAGACAGTCAACCAACGCTCCAGACAGACAGCATGCGTTATCTGAAAGTCTAAAGTCTGCAATTCTTCAAATTGCAGACCTTCAATGTCATTATGATGCCACAGTAGAAAATTGCAGCTCTGACTTAAGTGATGGCCATGGCCAAAATGCAGGGGCACTAATATTTGATTCAAGTTTCCCTTGGGGAATGAATATTGGATATGTATAAAGTATAAAAAACAAATTTCATTTTTAGACTTGGCCTCTGTTAGGTCCACAGGACACCTAGGTGTTAGGTCAAGCACCCCCAAAGGACAGGCCCACTCACTATGTCCAAGATGGCAGTCTGGGCTTAGCTGGGGCTGGACATGGTCAGGAAAAACAGAAGGATTGCTGGAGGATACTTTCAGCATTCTGTAGGGACCTAGGAAAGGTTTCTGTTTGTCAGGAAGAGCCACTTCCTTATCTCCCCTCTGTCTTGTAGATGAAGCACTTGGCTCCCCATTGGCATGTATACCACAGCCAAAGCTAGCCTCCAGACCCCTCTGGTCCCTATTCATATGTTCTTGTTATGCATCCCAAAGTTCACACTAACCTCTTGGCCCTCTCACCTTCTCCACTCCTCCTGCACTACTTCCAGGCAGTTCCAGATTACAGCTCTCTTCCTGCTCCCTTATTATGACAATTGTCTCCCACCCCTGCCCCCGCCCCCCCCCCCAGCTCCCGCTAGTCTCTCTCTTCCTATTCCCTGCTACTATTCTCTCTTCTCTCTCAGATAGCGCTGGCCATGTCCAGTCTGCTTGTTTTTTTTCTCTTTACACTGGGCAAGCTGTCTCTAGATATTCTCTCTTTGTTATTTACAGTGAAAACCTTCCCCTCAAATCATGGTGTAGCTATTTTGGTGGTTTCTTTACTGTGACCTCACTTATAGTCCATATCTAAGATACCTTATTGTTTATATATTTTCCGAAATCCATAGCAGTTCCAAATCCAAAAGACTTTTGGTCCCA